CTTAGATAAGATCTGGGTAAGGTAAATAGAATTTTGAAGAGAGTATGTTTTTGTTGATATTTTGTAAGATTTCAAGAAGCGTATCTGTCCTAATTAAAGGAGTGTAAACACAACAAATGAATGTGCCATAGAGAGCATGTTGTGTTCCAGGAGGGAATCTTGGTATTTAGTATATTTACGTTGCAGTCTTAACACATGAAAAGGAATTTGACCAGAGTTGTGATTCTTTTTTAAATAGAAATTTATATAAGATCTTTATTCCACCCATTTGACTTCTTTGTTCCTTGGAGGTCTTTGAGAAGTTAATGTTCTTCAGCCCTCTCTCTTTAATTTATTAGGTTGGTGCAAAAGTAATTGTGATTTTGCCATTAAAAGTAATGGCAACATATTAAGGAAAGTAGTACTAACTGTTGGAGACGTCAAAATACTTGTGTTAGCAAGGTTTTTCTCTCTCAGAGCTTTCCATCTTATGTCATTATGACTGGTGACCTATATTATATTTTCTTTTAATTTTAACCAAGGCTGAATCAGAGTACTTTGGGGGACTTACTTCTATTTAATATTTTCAGAGTGTTCGACAAGACAGACATAACCTCCACTTTTGGAGAGCTGTTACTTTAACAGGGTCTCCCTGTGTTGCCCAGGCTGGTCTTGAATTCCTGGGCTCCAGTGATCCTCCCATCTTGGCCTCCCAAAGGGATTACAAGGTGTGAGCCACCACAGTCAGCCAAGTTTTTTATTGAGCTAAAATTTATCTCATTGCAATGACTCTTATTCCTGGATCTGCCCTCTGATACTCAATATAGTAATAATATGATAGTATACATATTCATAGGCTGTTTAGATCACTTTTCTTTCCTACTTTAAAAATGATTTGTAAAAAATTACAGTTCTCTTCCTGTAGGTCTAACCTACATCCAAATTAAAACAGAAAAGAAATGAGAAGAGGTCACATTGCTGGCTGACCCACCAGGCTCTGATGTAGTGCACTGCTTGCCAAGCAACACTTGATAGCGCATCTGCACAGTCTTATCTTGTTACTTTTAGAGAACATTCAGTGAGGTCTCTAGCTTCTCAAAAGCAAAGCATCCAGTTATTACATTAATATTTTATCACCTTAAGATAGAATGAAAGGTTATTATACAGGATAAATGCCAATAAAAGTAAAAGAAACAATCTTTATACACTAGAAGGCTGTGCTTCCAGCTAGAGTTAATCATAATGCTTACAGTTTTCTTGTTATTAAAAACACTCAGTATACATCTGTAAAGACTAGCTACAAATGCTTTTAAGACAGCACTGTTGTCATTTTTTTTTTCTTTAAACAAAAAGAAAAAAATTTTGGTTCATTCACTGTGCAGCTTTTCACCACCCTGGTTGATATATTAAAGACAGTTTAGTTCTCATGTGCTATATTGCCCACATTTTTTCAGGAGACTTATAAGTAGGAAAAGCTGGAAGCTTTTGAGGTGATGTATAAATCGGGCACAGAGCTTAGCGCATTACGGTATACAGGTAGGTCCCCTCTTCTCCTGCCTCCCCCTCCTCCCTTTTTGCTATTAGGTAATTGTTAATGAATGTCAAATAGAACCATTGGAGAACATGTTTAAGAGAAATTATTCTCAAGTGGAATTGTCTAATTTGATAAATATGATCTTCTTTTAACCCTTGTAATGAATTTGTTTAAAAGGCAATCAAAGTTGGTTAATTCATAGAGTCAATTTTATTGCTGGCATAAAGATATTAAAATTACATAATATTATTTAAAGTAAATTGAAAGTTATATATGCTACAGTAGGTAGAGGTCGTTGACTGAGTTAGTGAGTTTTACTGTTGATGCATGGTAATATTCACATACTATAATTTTGTCAAAACCGTAGGTGTTAGGTAGGGCAGTTGAAATAAATTAGGGCATGTTTTGTAGGCTCCAAAGCTTTATTTTGGAGCTTATATATAAAAGTGTTTGTAGTTATTCCTTTCATTTTAGTTATTTGAGTAAATTCTGACAGTTTTTGAGAGTAAGTTGGTCATTCTGGGGAGCACATTTTTGTATTTAATGTGGTAGAGAGTGTTTTTTTGTGAGAAACTGGAAGAATGCTGTTTTGCATATAAAGCCCGCTGTATCTACATTTGCAACTTTAATAAGAGATGTGGAAAAGTGGTTTTCCCTTTTCGACACCTTCACAATTAATTGTTTAGGTGATATTAACAAGTAGATATCTGTATTGTACTTTTATTTGACTTTCTTTGCTCATCTAACATTTTTGGTCTTAAAATATTATCACTTAAAGATAATTAAGTGAGGAATTCTCCTGGATACCATGTAGTAGGAAGACATGGGAGACAGATTGTAATACCAGATGCAACATGTCGCTAGTCAAGAGGGTGGTCATTTAGTGCCTACTTGAAAAGTGCTTCAAGAAATTTATATTTCATAAGGCTCATAATCATAAAATTCACTTATGTTTATTTGGTTTTAGAATTCAATTTATGTGAATTGATTTAATTATGTAACTCTTAATGTTATGTTTGTGGAAAGAGTGGTCTTAGTAATTTCAAAAATGATTTTAGACATGATTGTGACAGTTTTTTAAGTTATACTACATTTACTATCTCACAAAAATGTTTTGCTAGTGTGATCATTTACCAAGACATGGAAAAGCAATGTATAGTAAATTGACCTCTTGTTTTACTTTGCATTTATTTATTTATTTTAAAGATGAGTGACTACTGACTGGATTGTTAGAGAGTACCGCATAATTTCTCCTTGAGGTGATGAACTAAACTAAATAAAAGGGAAGAAGTGGGACAATAGTATTTGTTAAATCCTTCAGTGTGTTGGTTGTTATATTAGATGCTTTCCAAATATTATTTTACAACCCTATGAGGATTTTGACTGCATTCAGAGCTAATAAGTGAACACTAAGGCATGGAGAAAATTTTATCAGAGGTCCTAAATGGTAGAGCAAAAATTTACATGCTGATCTTTCTTTTTTTGTTTTTTCTTTTTTTCTTTTCTTTTTTCTATTTAAGATAATGTCTTACCCTGTCATCCAGGCTGGAGTGCAGTAGTATGATCACGGCTCACTGCAGTCTCATCCTCCTAGGCTCAAGTGATTCTCCCACCTCAGCCTCTTTAGTAACTGGGACTGCAGTCACATGCCAGGCCTGGCCAATTTTTGTATTTTTTCGTAGAGATTGGGTTTCACCATATTGCCCAGGCTGATCTTGAACCCCTGAGCTCAAGCAGCCCGCCTGCCTCAGTCTCCCAAAATGCTAGGATTACAGGTGCAAGCCTCTGCGCCCAGTCCAACATGCTGCTCTTTCTAAATTCCAAAATTCATTTTCATTTTGCTACTTCACATTCAAATTGGTATGTATACTAGCTCTGACAAAATTTATTTGGGGGATTATTTTTAACATTGAATTTCTTAGAGTAACAGGAATAAATCAAAATATGAAAATTAAATAATATGGAAAACTATTAGTTTCTTTTGAAATCGAGATTCCAGTTTTAAAAGTATCTTCAAATTTTTAGTAAGACTTTTTGCCAAATATATTTAAGGATCAAAGTACTTCTTGATGAATCACTTTTTATAGTTAGTGTTGATGCCTTTGACTCATCTTAGTTTGTCTGCATGTAGTTATTACCAGTTCCTGAAAAATGACCATTTCAAAGATTACCATAAGTAAGCAAAAGGTCTTCAGTCACACTGCTTGGCTTTACTTCCTTACTTTACCCTTTCTTACTGTTGTGACGTTTGGCAAATTAGTTTCTGTACTCCCTGTTTGTTTATTGTTTTCCTTTTATTGGTGATAATAACAGTCTCTGTCTCCTAGGATCTCCTAGGTTGTTGTGAAGATTGAGTTAAGTGATTAAAGATCTCAACATGTTATTAACATTTATTGAACTCTCAGTGAATTTGTTGAGATGAAGAACATTTGCTAGAGTTTTATATACACATCAACTCGTTTTGCTTTAGTAATTTTTTTGTTGGTTTGTTTTTTTTTTTGAGATGGAGTCTCGCTCTGTCACCCAGGCTGGAGTGCAGTGGCGCAATCTTGGCTCATTGCAACCTCCGCCTCCCGGGTTCAAGCAATTCTCCTGCCTCAACCACCCAAGTAGCTGGAATTACAGGTGTGCGCCACCACACTCAGCTAATTTTTGTATTTTTAGTAGAGACAGGGTTTCACCATGTTGGCCAGGCTGTTCTCAAATTCCTGGCCTCAAGTGATCCACCCGTCTTGGCCTCCCAGTGTGCTGGGATTACAGGCGTGAACCACTGCGCCCGGCCTTGCTTTAGTAATTTTTTTTGTACTTGAGAAAACCTACTTAGAGTACTCCACATTTTTAGAATGTTTATCTGTTTTATTCCATTTCATTAATTCAGCTTTCATTTCTAATTATTCTAGATTCACACATTTTTTCAGGAGGCTCATAAGTAGGAAGAGATGGTAGTAGAGATGGTATTGTGGCTATGTTATTAGGATTTTTGCTTTTCTTTGTAGTATGCAATAACTATTGTCACAATTGCATACTTCCTCTTTCCTGTAACACCAAACCTGCTTCTACAGTCTGTCTGATTTCAATAAATGGCTTCAATAGGCCAGAAACCTTGGAGTCTTCTTTTGGTACCTGATTTTAAAATTACAGTAGGCCCCCTTATCCAAGCAATGTGGTGGACCTTTGATATCTACTGTAGGATCATATGAATTTGTATCTATTTTGAATCATGATATTTTCTTTATAAATTCTTAATTTGAACTTTCTCTTTATTGTAAAGAAACTGAAAATTCTGAACTTCTTAATAACTAAGTCTTTACAAATTGTTTTTCAAAAACTTTGAAATACTAGTGTGATTTTGTATACTATCTAAAAATGCCATTTTACTTTGTGTTTGGCCAAAAAGTGATCCTGTGTCTGAAATGATAAAATTAGCCTAAAATTTAAAAAATAATTAGCATTACATGAATGTTTTCTTTTTCTTTTGTTCTCTTAGCTTCTTAATGAAGAGGATAACTCGGAATTATCAGCCATAGAGCAGCCATCTACTTCAAACCCAGCACCGCAGATTGCGCAGGCTGCCTCCTCAGCACCAGCACTTGAAACTGATTCTTCCCCTCCACCATATAGTAGTATTACTGTGGAAGTACCTACAACTTCAGGTATGAAACAGCTAGTAATGTTTTTATTAGTTTTTTTTTATTTTTTGACATTTTGGTTTTGTGTACTTATCAAGTCTGTTAATGGACTTATAAACATATATGCACATGGATGTTTAAATATGTATATACATACTGTGTGCACATATAAATATACAAATGTATATACACATATATATGTGTGTATGTATATATGTGTACATAATTATGTAGCCATAAAACAAGATGATGATGAGTGTGAGAATGTGGTATGTGTGACTACAGGTGAAGGGTGTATATAGTATTATCCCATACGTATGATAATTCTTGAATACAAGTCAGTAATTCCTGTTTGCTGCTGTTGATCTTATTCAGGTCACTCTAAAGAACTAATCTGTTTTTCTGACTGCAATTTTTATTTCCTAAGCAATGATAAATTATTCAGTTTGATCACTTTTGTATACCAGTGTGATTTTGTATACTATCTGATGATTGTTTAATTTTGTATGTGATTATAACTTCTCTAGTCTAATAATTTTTAAATAAATTCTAAATAACTTCTCTAAATATTTTGTATACTCATTATGAAAAAATTTCATTTTAAAAATCAGTTACTGAAAAACATTTTAACAGTAAAAATTTTTCACTGGAACTTTTCATCTTATTCTGTAGTTAACATCATCTACTGCTCTCAAATTAATGCCAGCTTTCTCTGGTTACCATTTTTACATTTGGAATGTGTAAATTCAATATTTCTTCTACCAAATTCATTTACTTTTTTTGTGTAGTTACTGAAAATCATTTTTTCATGGTGTCCTCACTAATGAAATTAATACATGCTTACTCCTTTTATTTGTATAAAATGTTTATTTGATGAATATGCTTGCTCATTGCCCAGTTTTATGCACAGTTTTTACGTTGATAACAATTTTGTCTTTAAGATTTAACAGCTGGTTTGATGCCTGTTAAAATTTATTATATGCTAAATACTTCTTCAATATTTTACAAATTTTCACAATATAATAATAAGACTTTGCTACCTTAGATTTAAAAAATTAATTTGACTGTAATTTTGAAGAAAGAAAATGAGTTGTTTTCCCAGTGATGTTTGTCTGAGTAATGAAAGATGCTGTGAATAATTTTAAGAGTGAAATTGTGATCCCTTTGTTGTGACTACCATTGCTATTGCTGTGTAACAAACTACCCAAAATGTAATAGAGTAAAATATCAATCATTTATTACTGTTAATTCTTACTGTTCTGGGCATGGACTGGGTTGAACTATGCTATTCTCTCCTAGAGTCTTATGTGACTGTTGTCTGATGGCGGCTTGGGTTGGAATGATCTCAAAAGCTTCCTTTTTCACATGTTTGGTGGTTTATACTGGCTTCAGCTAGGACCACAGCTGGGGCTACTGGCCAAGACAGTTAAATGTGGCTTCTTATTGTGGCTTACACTTCCTCGGTAGATGGTGGCTGGGTTCCAAGAACAAGCATTCTGAGAGAAAGTCAGATGGAAGCTGTATCACCTGTTATGATACTGTCTCAAATGTCACATGGTATTACTTCTGCCATATTTGGTTGTTAGAAGTGAGTCACTAAGTTTAGTCCTTATTCAAGAGGAGAGGAATTCATCTCTACTTCTTGATGAAAGGAGTTTTAAAGAACTTGAAGACTAACTTTTAAAACTGTCACAACTGCATACTTACTCTTCTCTGTAGCACCAAACCTTCTCCTTCTACAGTCTCTCCTATTTTAACAAATGGCTTCAGTATGCCAGAAACCTTGGAGTCTTCTTTTGGTACCTGATTTTAAAATTACAGCAAGCCCCCTTATCCAAGGGAGATGTGTTCTTAGAACCCCAGTGGATGCCTAGAACTACAGCTAGCACTGAGCCCTATAAATACTGTGTTTTTTCTATACATACTGTTTTTTCTTTGTTTTTGTTTTTGTTTTTTTTGAGATGTAGTTTCGCTCTTGTTGCCCAGACTGGAGTGCAATGGCGTGATCTTGGCTCACTGCAACCTTCACCTCCCGGGTTCAAGCAATTCTCCTCCCTCAGCCTCCCAAGTAGCTGGGATTACAGGCATGTGCCACCACACCTGACTAATTTTGTAATTTTAGTAGAGACGGCATTTCACCGTGCTGGTCAGGCTGGTCTCGAACTCCTGACCTCAGGTGATCCGCCTGCCTCGGCCTCCCAAAGTGCTGGGATTACAGGCATGAGCCACCGCGCCAGCCTATACTGTGTTTTTTTAATACATACATACTTATGATAAAGTTTAATGTATAAATTAGCCACAGTAAGAGATTAACAACAACTAATAATAAACTAGAATATTTATGGCAATATACTGTAATAAAAGTTATATGAATGTAGTCCCTCTTTCTCTCTCTTGGAATACCCATTCTTCTTCATGTGATGATATGAGATGATAAAATGCTTATATGATGAGATGAAGTGAGGTGAATGACACAGGCATTGTGATGTAGTGTTAGGCTACTATTGATCTTCTGATGATATGTCAGAAGGGGGATTGTCTACTTCAGGTGATCCTGGACTGCAAAACCTTCACGATGTCGATGAGTGGGGATCCTTGATAATTGAAGGTTATTTTGCTGAAACCTTTTGGAAGAACGTTGTAACTGGAAGTTGTTGTCTCTTTTTTATTAACTCGTTGAAGTGTTGCTGCAGAGGTTGTAGTGCTTCAGTGATTATTTGGGTGACTTTGATACTATGTCCCATTAAGGATCATATTCAATAATTTTGTCATTTAATGTCTGTGCAATTTGAAACACTTCAGCAAATTTTGGTAATGGCCTCATTACTGATTCTGCTTCATTTTATTCTTTGTCTTCCTCTTCCTCTGTAGATGACTCTAATTCTTCCATGGCCTCATTTATTAACACTTCTTGATGGCCTTCAGTTATGACCTTCTACTTCTTCATCAAGGATATTGGCAAATCCTTCTCTACCAACTTGTCATGCTGTATGATTTTCCTGACTTCTCCATTGATCCCCAAGAAGCCTTTAAAATCATTCATAACTTTGCTCCAAACATTCTTCAAGGAGACATCTACAGTTTCTGGTTTTAATTCATCAGTTGCAGCTTTGATGAATGTTACTGCATCAGCAATAGTGATTTCCAGCACTGTATTATGTCCATATTAGGGTCTGCATCAATTGCTGATCAAATGTGATTAAATACTAGGCAAGTATATGTGGCCTTGACAGACCAGATGATGCACTGGTCAAGGGACTGAAGCAATGAGGTTATATTTGGAGGTCAAAATAAAACCTCAGCATTTTCATTTTCATAGCAAACAGGTTCAGGATGGTCAGCTGCATTGTCTGTTATTAATAGGACTTTAAATTTCAACTTGTCTTCTTTCAAATAGTTTTTCACTTCGGGGATGAAGCATTGGTGGAACCATTCCATGAACGAGATAGCTGTCACCCATACTTTCTAATTATGTTGCCAGAATTTGGGCAGATAATTTTTCATTTTTTCTTTGAGGGCACATGGATTCTTCACTTTGTACAGTATGCCTGGCTCTGTCATATGCCCTGCAGTGTCACCACATGGTACCTGAGTTAATCTGTCCTTCCACGTTTTATGCCTTAATGCCTCCTTTGTACTTTGATAAATGTCAGTTCTGTCAGGCATCTTCTCCCAGAAGAGCCCAGTTTCATCGCAATTGAAAGCTTGTTTGGATGGTATCCTTTCTCCTTAATCAGCTTCTTCAACTCTGCCAGAAATGCGACAGCAGCTTCTTCATTAGTAGACACAGACTCTCCAGTAATTTTTTATCTTTTAGTCCAAACCTAATCCTCAATCTGTGTGACCATTCCTTATTTGCAGTAAATGGCTCAGTGTCTCTGGTTTCAGGAGATTCCTTGCTGAAATCTTCGTATAGGCTCAGTGCCTTCTGGTGCAACACATTGCCGTCAATCGGAACATGTTTCTGCTTGTGTCCTTCACATACAAATTAATTCCTCTTCCATCTTAACTAAGCACTTATCACACACTGTGGCCAAAACTTTTGCAGTTGGGGATGTGACAGCAAAACTAGCACAAATTTCTTTTTCCTTCACAATTTCACAGATAGAAGATTCTTTTTTACTGTAGATCTTAGCAACCTCAGCCTACTATTTTTTTTTCTTGATTAAGGCAAGAACTTTCACTTTTTCACTTAAAGGTAGCACTTTATAGCTCTCTTTGGCATATCTGAATTGCCAGCATCTCTACTCTTGTGTTTTGGAGCCATTATTAAGTAAAATAGAGTTACTTGGACACAAGTACTGCAATACTTCAATTGTAGATTTGATAACATAGAGTTGCTAAATGACTGATGGGTGGGTAGTATTGACATCATGTATACACTGGACAAAGGGATGATTCACATCCTGGCCAGGACATAGTGAGTTGGTGTGAGATTTTATCGTGATATTCAGAACAACGCACAATTTAAAACTTATGAGTTGTTTATTTCTACAGTTTTCTATTGAATATTTCTGGATTGCAGTTGACCTTGGGGTCACTAAAACTGTGGAAAGCAAAACCATGCCTAAGGCAGAACTATTGTATATGGTTTTTCTCTTTTAATTTTTGATGAAATGAAATATATTATTATATGTCTTTAAGCTAGTCCATCTCCATGTTCTGAAATACACAGTTTTCATGCCATGTTCTAATCTCTTCTGGATTTAGATTTGTGAATATTTTAAAGTTTTTGCAATATTAGTGAGATCTATAATTTTATGCTCTTAGCAGATGGAGAGAAGAGGTGGAGCTGCTAAAACTTCAGACAGGAGATGCTGGTAGTTTGGACTAGAGTGCTGGTGGTGAAGAGTATGTGGATTCAAGCAATATGTGGGAAGTAAAAATCAATGCCTTGGTGACAGATTGGATAAGGATGAGGGAGAAGGGGTTAAGAATGATGCCCAAGTATCACTGAAAAGGAACAGGTTTGGGATGAAGATCAAAATGTTATTTTTTGGCCATGTTGAATTTTAGGTGCCTTT